CAATAATATGAATGAGATTTGGAGCTGCAAGTAACTAAAATACGTGCCATACTACTTAAATAAGCATGGATACAACAAACACAATGCCAAATAAGAGGAAGAAAGCACACAACATGCTAGCCAAAAATGTATGAACACAACCTCGCTCATCAGACTGAGAGAAACGACATTCTAAATTCAGAAAAAAAAAAGTCACAATCACCCTAAGCTACAGCCAACCAACAAGATTAACAGCTAAATGATAAGAAAGTAGGAGGAAAAACAACTTAGAAACACATAGGATCGGCAAGACTTCTAACCAAACGGACTAGAAAGTTCTGATAAACCGAACGAAGATGCATCACTAATTTGAACTCAAGAGCAAGCCAAGATTACTTCCAAAATTTCAACATTTCATATAGCTTGTATCCTTTAAACAGTGAACAGTCTAAGGCTTAGGAAATGGGTGATACGAGAGAATGAGGTTTACCTTTTTAAGTGCGGCGAACTGGACAGCAACGAGCAGACGAGTTTTTCACCACACGAATTCGAAACTGAAACAGTCGACCAAGAACTTCAAACTAGCTTTGAATGAGGAATTTTTGCTTCTCCTAATTGAGAGAAAAGGCCGTCTAAAACTTCTCAACTATAAGAATCGTTCAAAGAAATTTCACCCTTTTTCTTGACTCTAGTTTTTTCAAAAAATTTCCCCTGTCTCCCCTCTTTTTTTCTAACAATGAAGGACATAGAGCTATTTATCAATGGAACTAGGGCAAAACGGGTGGATAGGCGGGAGATTTTCGGATATGGGCGAGGCCCATTCCAAAAAAAAATTCAAACTCTAACTTTCACCATTTTGGTGAAGCACCTCTTTTTCGCAGAGTCAAACCATTATGAAAGAGGAAGTAGTGAGAAGCGCGTGCTGCTGCCCGAAGAGGGACATGAAGAAGACGACAAGGAAGGACAGAGTATTGTTGTACTCATAGACGCCGTGAATCGCTTTCCATCTATTTGTGAACGTTACTGCTGTTTCCGTGAACTCGCCTTCGCGTGGAGAAGACGAGGTGCGTATGGGGTCGGGTGGTGTCGTTCACGCATGCTGTTGTTGCTGTATTTTGATGCCATCTATGTTGTTGTTCTTGGTCATGTGCTGTAATCGTGAAAAAGGGATAAGGAAGCTGCTGGGTTCTTTGTTACCAGCGAATTGGGCCGGGTTGGGGTGAAATGGGCTGGCCGAATTGGATTAAGTTGGGAATAGGAGAAATGGGAATGGGAATGGGTTGGGTTGTCGATTAGTACTGCTGTAAGTTGTTAGTTTGGATTTGGGAGAATTTGTGGGCCAGGGGTTAATTAAATTGGGCTTGGATAAATCTGGGAATTATTTGGGTTGCTGGGTTTAAGGGGAAAGGGTTAGATTAGGAATGGTTAAATGGGTTTAGATTATAGCCAATTGAATTAAGCCATTTCGAATTTAATTAATAAAATTAGCTAAAACTCAAATAAGATAAATTAATATTAATTAATTAACGAGCTTCTTAATCTTAGTGAAATAAAATAATCAATTTAATTATAAACTAAATGATTTTGAAATATAAACTATTATATAACTAAACAACTTTTAATAGAATATTTAATATAAAATCTTTTCGAGATGATTTTCCAAATATTTATAAAATATACTAATTATAGATATATAAAATTACATGAAATATATATTATTTATAAATTATGAAAATCGACCAAAATCACTTAAGATGACTTTGCAAAGTATTTGAATTTTATAAAACTAATTATTCTAAATCGTTTGGAAATTAGGAAGCTCGTGAATTAATTCCTATCGGGGAGGGTCAAAATTGGGTGTCAACAACTGTCCCTCATTTTACTTTGATTGATGCAAGGAATCTGAGGAAAATGAAATTGACTAATCCAATTTTTGACCGCCCACATCTTCATCTTTCGAAAAGGGTTTTGGTACGGACTTTAGGAATTATATCTCAGGCCATATGAGAATTCAGGCCGCTTGCAGTTCGACTCGAACGGTTAAAAAGAAAATCTATTATGCTAGATCACCTTTGTTCTGGAAAAACGACAAAGTAAGTTGAGTATGAGAAGGAGGCTTACAACCTCTTAGCCATGAATGTGGCGCGCTTCACACCCATAATTAAGAACTTACACAGACATAATTCCCAAAGCTATTGGCACATTTGTCACTCGGATTGGAAAGCCGCTTCCGGTAGAGGCCAAAAATTTCCGGAAGCGCAACTGAAACTGACAAACTTAAGAAAAACCCACATGCCTTCTGATAGGGGTGTGGTTTGATTATGGTGGAAGTTGTTCCTCTGCTCGTGTCCTAAGAGTTTGTCACTCCTCTTTGGACTAAGTTCCAGTTCGTTGCTAAGAAAAAGTTCCACGTTGTGCTGCATCCCTTTTGATGTCGTCCGCACCTGTGGTTTGTTTTTGGAGAATTCATCCTTTTGGATGCTCTCGACAAAGACTGATATAAAACTCATCAGTATAAAAATGCAATTCAAATGGGAGACAATGTCTTTTACCGTGTTGACACTTAATTTCTCTCCTTGAACATTTGACGTAAACTCCATCAGATTTGATGTGAAGCAAATAAAGCTTGTGTCTCATGTCTATAATATAATCTTTCATGTACTCTTCCTTTGATGTCAAAACAATTAAATAAGCTGATGTAATATGTTGATAATTCTTTTGATATTGTTTGTGCAAAGAAAAATGATGTGGTCGATGTCGATCTTCTCGTGATGGGTAAATCTTTCTCTTGCGATATATAACTTCTTCTCATGCTATGCATGAATCCTTCTCTTGCGACGTAGGAATTCCTTTCCCGTGATGCGTGAATCTTTTTCCCGCGATACATGAATCTTCTCTTGCGATGCATGAATCTCTTTTCTCGCTATGCATGAATCTTTCCCCGCGATGCATGAATCTTCTCTTGCGATGTATGGATCTCTTTTTTCTCGCGATGCATGAATCTTTTTCCCGCGATGCATGAATCTTCTCTTGCGATGCATGAATCTCTTTTCTCGCGATGCTTGACTTCCTTTTCCCGCGATGCATGAATTTTCTCTTGAAATGCATGACTCTTCTCTTGCAATGCATGAATCTTTTTTCTCGCGATGCATGAATCTTCTCTTGCAATGCATGACTCTTCTCTTGCAATGCATGAATCTCTTTTCTCGCGATGCATAAATCTTCTCTGATGACGCCATCCCTAGTACCGAACGAAGATTATGCTTCACCAGACAACCTAGGTGATCTTCTGGGTACCTTCTGGGTGGCGGTATCGTCCTAATTGACAATACGAATAAAAATGACCCTCAAAGTAATGGTATCATCTCATCCGATAATACGATATAAATGACTCTCCGGGTAGTGATATCGTTTCAATCAACAACAACAACAACATACCCAGTGAAATCCCACTAGGTGGGGTCTGGGGAGGGTAGAGTGTACGCAGACCTTGACACTACATCGTAGAGGTAGAGAGGCTGTTTCCGAGAGACCCTCAGCTCAAGTACATCAAAACCAAGTAAAAGGCGAGGAAAACAGTGTGTAAAACATCACATCCAATAGTCTCAATCGACAATACGAATAAAAATGACCCTCAGAGTAATGGTATCATCTCATTCGATAATACGATATAAATGAATCTCCGGGTAGTGATATCGTCTCAATCGACAATACGATGTGATTAAATCTTAGAGTAGTGGCATCATCTCATTCGACAATGCAATATAAATAACCTTCAGGGTAAGAATATTATCATATCTGATAATGTAATGCAGGTAAAATGTCTTCCAGATATCTTTCGTTGCTAGAAAATAATAATATTTCTCTCTTCAAGGTTTTCATTTGTCCCATCTCCGAACATAATTGCATGTTCGTTATGAACCATGCCTTGCTGAGAATTTGAATAAATTAATGCTACTCATATTCCCAATTCTTGGTATAAGAAACATGAAATATTTCCTGCATCCACAAAAAAGTTGTCAATTTGGGGAGCTCTTCGCCCTTTTGACTTCTCCATATTTATTGAATGGAAGAATATGCCGATCTTGAGGCAAACCTATAGACCTGCATCCACAGAAAAAATGTTAATTTTTTACAAAATGAATTGATATGTGTTGATCTCTTTGGTTGTCTGCTCCTTGTCTTGCTATCTCCGGTTGATTTCTGCGATCTCCCGCTTCTTGATAGATAAGACAAAACATTTTTATGCAAAAATAATTGAAACATGTAGGAAAAGTTTTAAGAAAAAATAGATTTTCAAAAAGTAGCATTTGGAAAATGTCAGCCAAGCTTAGTGAACGCCATTTGGAGTTGATGTTTTGGGATCTATCTGATTACTTGTTGGGAAGTATTCAAAGTTGTTCTAAACTGCCGATAGAACCTATTGAAATTTTGAGGTCATCTCAAAATTTCTGTCCCAGTTAACTGTCTTGGCTTATCTTTAATCGTTGGTGAGCAAATCACAGAATTTTTGAGATATTCTCAAAAAATTTGTCCCAGTTGCAAATCTCAAAGTGATTTCAGTCTTGACTTTGTTGGAAATCTTCTTCTCGAGAATTTTTGAGTCCCTCTCAAAAATTCTATCCTTGTTTCTATTGTAAGGAGAAATAGAAATCTTTATGGGAAATATGACCGAGCCCTTGTGGCGCCTACGTATCCCGTTGAGGCAGGAACCAGGTCAAACGTAGTTCCCCTTCTCGAGGATTAACAAAAATAAGGAATTTACAAAGAAACTGACCGAGGCCGACATAGGCCGCGTACGTATCTCATTCTTGAGAATTCAGGTCGAACGTAGTTCAAATACAAAGAAATATTAAAAAGGGATAAATGGGTGACCGAGGCCGACATAGGCCGCCTACCTATCTTATTCTTGAGAATTCAGGTCAGACATAGTTCATTACAAAGGGATGAAATTTTAAACAAAGCGATTACAAGCAACTGGAATGATTACAAGGAAATGACAGAAAATACAAACTGAAACTTTACACATAATATCTCTTGACAGCATCTGAGTTGATCGGTTTCGGCCATTCGGTACCATCCATCTCCGACAGGACCAAGGCACCTCCAGATAATACTTTGCGAACCATGTAGGGTCCTTGCCAATTTGGTGCAAATTTCCCTTTGTAATCATCCTGATGAGGGAAAATGCGTTTAAGGACCAACTGACCCACTTCAAATATTCTGGTTCTTACTCTTTTGTGGAAAGCACGAATCATTCTCTGTCGATAAAGTTGACCATGACAAACAACAACCATTATCTTCTCATCAATCAATGTTAACTGATCAATCCGCTTGCGAATCCAATCTACATCACCCAATTCAGCTTCTTGGATGATTCTCAATGAAGGTATTTCAACTTCTGTAGGTATGACTGCTTCTGTTCCATATACTAGCAAATATGGAGTAGCTGATGTTCTGACAGTCGTTCGGTAACCCAACAAAGCATATGGCAACATCTCATGCCAACCTCTGCGATTATCAATCATTTTCCTCAAAATCTTCTCTATGTTCTTGTTGGCAGCTTCCACGGCTCCATTTATTTGGGGACGATAGGCGGTTGAGTTCCGGTGAGTAATCTTGAGTTGTTCACATATCTCTCTCATCAAATGACTATTGAGATTCGCTCCATTATCATTTATAATCGATTCCGGTACCCCAAACCTACATATCAGGTTGTTGCGAACAAAATCAGCTACAACTTTCTTCGTTACCGACTTGTACGAAGCTGCTTCCACCCACTTGGTGAAATAGTTAATGGCAACCAAAATGAATCTGTGTCTGTTAGAGGCGGCTGGCTCTATTGGACCAATGACATCTATGCCCCAAGCTACAAATGGCCAAGGTGAACTCATGGCATTGAGTTCATGAGGCGGCACTCAATCAAATCTCCATGCACTTGACATTTGTGACATTTCTGCACAAACTTGCAACAATCATGTTCCATAGTCATCTAAAAATAACCGGCTCGAAGGATCTTCCTTGCCAAAGTGAGCCCATTCATGTGAGTACCACAAACTCCGGCATGTATCTGTTCAAGAAACTTTGCAGCTTCATTAGCATCAACGCATCTGAGAAGACCTAAATCTGGAGTCCTCCTGTAAAGGATTTCCCCACTTGCAAAGAAATTGAGGGCCATACGGCGTATCGACTTTTTCTGGTTGAACGTTGCATTCTCAGGACAAGTCCCATCCTCTAAATACTTCTTGATGTCAAAATACCAAGGCAAACCATCTGGTTCCGCCTCAATATGTGAGCAATGGACAGGTGCTCTTTCACCTCTATATCCACTGGATCAATATAACATGTATCTGGATGCTTAATCATTGACGCGATGGTGGCAAGAGCATCGACCAACTCATTCTGTGTCCTCGGGAGTGTGTCTGAACTCAATCTTGCGAAATCTCTTGCACAACTTCTGTATATACCGCACATATGGTGTGATCTTTGGGTTTTTCACGGCCCATTCCCCTTGAACCTGATGAATCAGCAAATCTGAATCTCCAATAACCAGCAACTCGTGAACATTCATATCAATTACCATCTTCAGACCGATGATGCAAGCTTCATACTCAGCCATGTTGTTCGTGCATTCAAATCGGAGTTTAGCCGCCATAGGATAGTGCTGACCGGTTTCTGACACTAAGACGCTCCGATTCCTTTCCCTTGATGGTTCGCCGCTCCATCAAAGAACACTCTCCAACTAGGGTACGCTTCAGATATATCCTCACCAACAAACGAAACTTCCTCATCGGGAAAATAAGTCTTGAGCGGTTCGTACTCTTCATCAACTGGATTCTCTGCAAGATGGTCAGCCAAGGCTTGCACTTTATCGCCTTCTGAGTCACATACACAATGTCAAACTCCCTCAAAAGCATTTGCCATTTAGCCAACTTCCCAGTCGACATTGCTTTCTGGAAAATATACTTCAACGGGTGCATCCTGGAAATAAGGTATGTGGTGTATGAAGACAATAATGTCTCAACTTTTGAGCGATCCAAGTCAAAGCACAACATGTTCTCTCCAAAAGAGTGTAACGAGCCTCATATGGAGTGAACTTTTTGCTCAAGTAATAAATGGCTCGCTCTTTCTTCCCAGTTTCGTCATGTTGACCAAGCATGCATCCCAATGCGTTATCTGAGACATACAAATATAGCAATAACAGACTCCCTTCTCGCGGAGGGACCAACACCGGTGGATTGGACAAATAGTTCTTGATAGCATCAAAAGCAGTTTGACATTCTCCGGTCCACTTGGTCGAGGCATCTTTTTTTAATAACTTAAAGATGGGCTCACACACCACGGTGGATTGAGCTATGAACCGGCTGATGTAGTTCAACCATCCCAAAAACTCATCACCTCTTTCTTGGTCTTTGGAGGGGGTAATTCCTGGATCACCTTGATCTTGGAAGGGTCAAGCTCAATGCCCCTTCTGCTGATTATAAATCCCAACAACTTGCCAGCTGGCACCCAAAAGCACATTTGGCGGGATTTAACTTCAAATTGTATCGGCGTAAGGATCAAAGAATTTCCTCAAGTGAGTCAAGTGATCCGAACTCTCGCGGGACTTGATTATGACATCATCTACATACACTTCGATCTCTTGTGAATCATATCATGAAAATGGTTGTCATGGCCTCATGTAAGTAGCACCGGCATTCTTGAGACCAAAAGGCATCACCCGATAATGATATACCCCCAGGCGTGATGAAAGCTGTCTTTTCTGCATCTTCTTCATCCATCAGGATCTGGTGATAGCCCGCATAAAATCCACGAACGACTGCATCTCATGCTTAGCACAGTTATCAATAAGAATGTGAATGTTTGGCAATGGAAAATTATCTTTCGGGCTAGCTTTGTTGAGATCTCTATAGTCGACACAAATTCTGATTTTTCGTCTTTCTTGGCAATCGGAACAACATTAGCTAACCAAGTTGGATACTGCGTCACTTCCACTACTTGAGACTCGATCTGCTTTGTAATCTCCTCTTTGATCTTCAAACTCAACTCAGGCTTGAACTTCGAGTCTTTTGTTTTACTGGACTGAAATCTGGATTGATCGGCAACTTGTGGGACACCATATCGTGCTCAGCCTGGCATGTCTTTATAAGACCAGGCAAATACATCAATGTACTCCTAAGCAAGCGAACCAGGTCCTTCTTTGGCTTCTGTCAGATGGACACTGATTCTTACTTTTTAACCATTCCTCATCTCCGAGATTCATAGTTTCGGTTTCTTCAAATTTGGCTTGTGTTGATTTTCGAATTGTCGAAACTCTTCAGCAACATGTTCGGGAACCTCATTTTCTTCTTCATATCCTCACACTCATTATCACCTGCCTCATTTTGTTCACTCGGTTCATGACATGACATGACATTGACAGGTTTTAAATTAATATTACTGAAATCATAAACAAACAAAGTTAGGAAATAAAATATAAACAAATAAGTAACAAACAAATTTGATAAAAGAGGTTTTTCATTTAAATTGAAACAAGCAAACTTTGGCCATGGCCGAGGGTCATTTTGCCTTTTTTAAACATCACAAGGAATTTAAAAACTTCAAGCAAATAAAATTGCATAAAGGGTGGGTCTCGGGCCTCTTTCGGACTACCACCGATTTTAAAACAAACAAAGACACATGTCTTTTCTACCCAGATGAGCGAGAAATCAGGAGTGGTATGGAGGTCTAGTTCTGCAATTGCTAATCAGGTTCTGCATCACGGATGCTGATCTCCAGCCTCTTCCTCGATGACCGCATCAATATCCTCAAAAAGGCCCTAGATTCCTTCCCCGAGACCAACATCGTTGACGTTTTCTCATACCGGAAATGACTGGTACCGATGAGAATTGACCTGGCCAATGCTTGATCCACACTCTTGTTTTTCATCTTGCTTCTTCGTCTGTTGGGACATATCCCAAACCAAACTTTGCTCCTTTGGCGGGAATTTGGATAGGCTCGATGATTCCTTGAAAGTGCTTCCCCAATCCAAAACCTGGTTCGAAACCATTCTGGAGCATTTACCAACTCCACTGTGTAGAAATCACAACCTCGAGAGGCATCATCAACGATCGGTGCATACCCATTGGAATGGCTCCTTCACCATAAATGACCAATTCCTTGGCCTTCCAAACAAACTTCATTAGTTGGTGAAGGGTAGAAGACACAGCCCAGCCATATGAATAAACGGTCTTCCCAAAGTAAGTTGTAACTGGTGTCGATATCCAACAACCTGGCACTCCACATTAAAATCCGCAGGACCACCTGAATATCCAAGTTTACCGCACCCAATATGTCTTTTTGCACTCCATCAAAGGCCCTCACATTAACTTAGTTCTGGTGAATTTCCCAAGTCGAATTTCAGCTGCCTCAGAGTCGAAAGTGGGTAAATATTAAGACGGATCCGTCATCGACCAAGATGCGATTAATTATCTTGTCTCGACACATACAGGTGACATGCATAGCTTTGTTAGGCATCTTCGCTTCAAAGGGCAGCTCTTCGTCACAAAAACTGATTCGGTGTCCTCGGATGACCTGGTTTATCATGGCTGCTAAATTGTCACTGTTAGTACCCACAGGAACATAAGTATCATCCAAAGCCCTCATCAGAGCTTGTCTATGTAACTGCGAACTCATCAGTAAGGCCCACACAGAGATCTGAGCCGGCGTCTTCTCCAAATGCTTCACAATCGAATAATCTTTCGGCTGCATTTTTCTCCAGAACTCCTCGGCCTCGGCTTCACTGATCGGCCTTTTTGTTTGGTCCTTCTTCTGCCTCATTGAGCTAACTCTTCCGGTGTGTAGCACCTGCCGGATCTGGTCATACCCTGGGTAACAGCCGTTTTAATCACAAAATGGGTCGGGTAAGAGTTTCTCGCGGCACCAAGGCAACAGCCTTCTCGGGTGTCAGAATCACAAACTCTTTCTTCTCTCTAATGCTCAACGAAGCCACAGCCTTTTCCAGTTCATCAGGAGCAATCGGAACTATTGCCTTTGTCAAGCACCAATCGTCATCTATCTCTATCATATTGATAGTGGTGCCTCCATGATTTGGCAAAGGATTACTATTGACATTGGGCGCAACTGTCTGAAGAAAGACCACATTCTGGTCAATCAGGTCTTGAATCATATGCTTCAGGTTGATACAGTCTTCAGTATCATGTCCAACACTGTTGGAGTGATACGCGCACCTCTGATCAGGTCTATAAAACTTTGAGCTAGTGTCAACCGGCTTGGGCCCTACTGGATGATATATCCTGCCGCGTTAATCGTTCGAACAACTTTGTTTGGCTTCAATAAGCGGAGTGAAAATTCTAGCAGACTTTTTCTCAAATCTAGGATGGGGGGGATCGTAATTGCCTTGTTGAGGAGGAGGCATTTGACGATAATTTGGAGTGTTTGGACGGGGGGCTTGATATCTTGGATATGAGTTGGTTTGGTAGTTTGGTTGTGGAGCTTGGTAGTTCGAGGGGGTATTTTGGTAAAGTGGAGCAGGGGCTTGGTACATTGGGGGAGGCGTTTGGTATTTGTCTGAATGTTGGCACAGTTGGGGGCAACATTTCGGTAGTGATGAGATGGAGTCTGGTAACTGGAGGGGAGTTTTGGTAGATAGTGGGGGGAGTTTGGTAGTTAGAGGGGGAGTATTTTGATAACTGGGAGGAGGGGTATTTTGGTAACTGGGGAGGGGTATTTTGGTAATCAGCCTGTGCATAACAAGCCGGGTATGAACTCTGTGAAGGTCGAGAACGACCTTGGTATGATGATGATTTCCTTGGGGTCTTCTTCCCCTCATAAGAGATAGAGGACACATCCTCTCTTTTCTTCTTCAACAAGCCCGAAGATCCGGGCGAGGCAG